TTCCATCGAAGTATAAAAATCGAATGATTACGGTCACTTTTTGCTTTTACAGAAATACACCTGATTAAGAGAAGATAATATTTATATGAAAAGTAAATATGTTTATTTGTTTTTAAATTAAGAATACATAACATAAAGAGATAGAGAATTCTTAAAAATAATAGTCAGTTTCGCGTCGCAGGCAAATATGTATGAATAATAAATTATGTATAAAAGACGGTCGCTAGCGTGCTCGATGGTCTTCACTTCGTTTAGAGCTCCAAATATAGAATGAAATCAATAGCGGCTCCTTACAGCACTAGTAGAATCAGCGGGAATACTGATGATGACGATAACGAACCATTATACTTCATATTTGCTATCTTTAAAATATTAACTAAAGAGGACAAATGTGAAGAACAATAATTCGCAGAGTTTTCCCATTTCCGCCACCTGCAACAGAAGATTCAAAAGAGGAAAAAGAAAAATAAAATATGGATTTATTCAAGTGATATTTAACGTAAAGTTATGATTTGTATACTGAATTATTATTGACTCAATTTTTATTGGCACTCAATTTTTTTTTGTTAATTGTAATAACAACTTTCGTTATACAAATTAACTTTGATAAGTTTTCGGCAACGTTGCGGTGGGCGGACCACAAAATGTATGTTGCCGTCCATCGCACCGTTGCTACGTATCGAGCAAACTAATTTCAGATCGTCGGTCATCGAAAAATAAAAAAAAAAACTGTCTACGGTATCAGTAGCGACGAGATTCGCACGAGCATCAGGGCACAGTTGCTGCTATTGATTAGGGGTGCATTGTCGAACTTACAATGGGTGCAAATGCAGCTGGCGGTCCATTGTTGCGAGATGAGGGGACACGATTTAATAAATTGGGATTCTAACGCTGATTACAAGCCCGTGACAAAGACTGTTGTTTGTGAGTTTTGGGAAATATTATATTTTGTTTTTACCCAATTCCCAATGCTCAATAGTTATAGAAAAGTTGTACTCAGTATATTTTATAACTGCTTCTATAATTATTACATTTATATCGTTATGAAAAATCCTTCAAAAATGTAAGCAAGTGGCATTTGACAGCGACTTGATTGATCGTAGTAACGGGACAAATGTACAGACGTGAACACAAGACTGTTCTATAGACATGTTAGCGATAAAAGTGTCTGTGTAAATGGAATTGATAGGTTTTAAGTAAGTGTGTACGCGAGTGTACTCTCCATGGTGAAATAATGTAAACAATGGCCGGCTATCAACCTGCCCTGGCCGACCGAAGGGGCGAATGAATGAAAGCTACTTCTACAACGCAGGGGAAAGTAAAGTATTGTTTCAGTTATGCAGGTGATTGTATGAAGATTGTACTGAAGATAAAATACGATTTATCTTTTCCTTTTGATATACCCCTTCCGCTAACTGATGTTTAAATGCAATACAATGCTCGTAGCATTGTATTGTATTTAAATTGCATATGTAGAGCGTATAATAATAATTTTAGACCACTGCCTCAAATGCTGTTACACTTAACAGCATTAATTTTTTATACGAAATGTTGATTTATACTTATCAAAGCTTAGGGACCGCCGGGGGAAGCCCCGTTCGCTTCCGTCATTTAGTACAAGCATATCGGTTGTACACATGGTACTTGCCAACCTATTTTTTTTATAATTGTATTATTTAAATTATATAATATTCTTTAATTAATTTATATAATACTCAATAAAATTCAACTTCTTCCCTAATGTACTTTATTTCAATCAACGTTATTTATTGTGGTGATTAGAGAGGATTTTAATTGAACACCCCCACTTCATAGGGCTATGACCCTGCATGAGACTGCCGCCCATTTAGCTCTCCAACGTATACTGTTCCGATATCAACGGAACTCTTTTGTTGTAAAAAACCGGGCGACCTTAGCCCTGTTTTATTGTGTCATTGCATAACCATAGGGTACAAAAGGGGTTGGGAGTCGCGTGGCGCGGACATTGAACCTTGCCTACATAGTATAATTGAAGCATAACCCCGTCAAATATTATAGAGCCCTATAATCAAAATACATTTTTTTTTACTTTTAAAAACATGAACGCCAAATCAATGCTAAATAGCGAACGTTCGTTTTTATTGAATAACTAGCTATTCGTCCGCGCCTTCGCTCGCGTTGAAGCCCTTAAATAAATATCTTTCTTTAAAAAAATCCAATTAAAAAATAGCCTATGTTCTTTCTCAGGGTCTAGACTATCTGTGTACCAAATTTCATTTAAATCGGTTCAGTAGTTTCGGCGTGAAAGCGAGACAGACAGACAGAGTTACTTTCGCATTTATAATATTAGTATGAATTTTGCTTAGGGCAATCCCCATGCTTTGATTCATATTACTTTATAGCAATTTTGTCATATAAGTTTGTTGTTTATGAATGTTCCTAAACATTGGTTTCAATTTTGTAGGAGACTCCTTTAAAAATGAGTGCAAAGGACGAGTCGATAACTATTCTATCCCATTGTAATGTACGGCTGATTTGTAAAAGCTTCGACATGGCAACCGTGAAGTTGTAAGGGGCGCGTTGGACCGTGAGAGACGAGTTGGCCAGCCCTGCTCAATCCACCCCGAGCAGCTGTCGCGATAATATATGGACTCGTCGATGAATCGATTGTTTGATTCGCCGGCGCATTGTTCCTAGCCAATTCTCTCTCGAACTTTTCTCCCCCATAGACCGAATATTGTTATTACGAGACTAACCTTAAAATTCATAATTGCGAAGTGAGAAGTTTTCGCTTAAGATTAAATAATTATATTAGTACTTTCTCGTGATGTTTTTTCTAATATTTCTCCCAAACCCCGTGATAGATGATTTAATTTTAAAAACTTATTAAAACATTTAATAAAATTATTTATATGCTAGAGTTGATTTTCATGTTGCTATTCCCTGTATAGCAGCTGCTTTAGCTGTGAATTGTGACATTGTATTTTATAATTTCTCGTTGACGATGGCACACCGGTCAAACGTAACCCTAAGGGCGAAATAGATGCACGCATGCGTTCGGTGTGCATTAATGCCGCGCGTGCAAATACTGTTCCGAAACTAGACGAAGCGGTTTACTTTAATCACCAAGGATACGGGGTAATTTTTTTTCAATGCAGCATAGGAGTGGTGGGTCCGAGAAGGGGGGGAGGGGGAGCGGGGATCCAAAGTTGAAAGCAGCTGCGCGGGCGCGGATAAAGTTGATACCCCGGCGCACATGTCGCGTGTCGGTGTCACGCAAACGGAGGGTCGCTCCACCAAGTTTCGCGTTGATAATTATGATTACAACACGATAGTTCTTGTCACGGCCAAGTTGCTCAATGTTTTCCGAAATGTGTATATGCTTAGTAGTTGATACTTGAAATGGCTCTGATTTGAATTTTTTTTCCTTTGTACATTTTTAATGATTTTTGAATTGAATGAATTAATCGAAACAATTGAAAACGTTTAGTATTTATTTTGAATTTTTGACATAATTGCGAAGCGCCTTTTCGCCGTCTTATATTTAAATGAGACCAATATTAGTATTTCTCTTAAATTATCCTTGCCATTACTTTAATTAACCTTTATGAAGACCAACCTATTTCAAAAGAAGCTCAAGCTTTTTTTGCAATTACAATGCAATCTCATCCTCTTTCGAGACCGGTTAAAACTGGCTCGATTGTGAATTAAAAGTGCAAAGGCCCCGTTTACGGGCGAGTAACGCGCCGCTTTGTTCCCCTACGCCGCGCGCCCCTTATCTTGTATCAAAGCCGATCGATTTGATAACGTTCGCATAATCAGCTGTAACACTCCGGCCGCGTTCACGCATTAAAAGCAATATGCGAACGCTCAGAAGTGTCACCAAAAGAAAGTTATTATGATTAAAGGATTCAAAACAAAAAGAAATAAAAAAATAACAAAGATTGTTAAAGATGAAAAATAAATCATGTGTTTTTTTTAACAGAAAAACAGACTTTTAGATAAAGGAAAGTGTAATTTGTAATATATTCCTATATTTCAAAACTCATCAAACATTGTGCCAATGTTACGGTGGTGAATGATGATTTTTGCTCTTAGTTAGCAAATTATATGCTTTAAATATTAAAATATTTTAATATAAGAATACTTAGAATAGAATTGAGTTTACGATACAGCGACGGTATTTAATGGCTTTAAAAAGTACCGAACAATTCCATAAAGTAATAGTTTTTTAATGATATTTCATGAAGTTCTTAGTTTAAAACGATTTTCTAAATTTATACTTTAACAGAAAGTAATTTTGCATCAATTTCTAATAATTTGTATGTAAATTTACTATAATATAGCCGCCACGGTATTTTTTTAATATCTTCAGTCATTATTCAAAAGGTTTCAAAAATCGTACAAATTAAACAATTTATCAAAAATCTGTTTTATAGGAATAATTTATCACTATGTTCAAAAAGTAAATTAAATGGAAGAAACTTTAGAATAATTCGGAAAACTATGTCTGCAGCAAATAGATTTACTTACATATTAAATATTTCAAAACAAGTTGTCAACTGTTGGGTTTGAATATGCTTTTAAAATTTTTTTTTAATGTAATAGCGGAGCTATGGGCGGAGGCAAACGCGGCCGTCTACGCCGAGTGATCCGTAGCGACTGCTACGAGCTACGCGCTACGCGATCATATTATCTGCCAGATAAAGGGGAGGGGTAGGGCGGGGTTGTAGGTGTAGTCGCGATTTTTCTTGTTGTTTGCAAAATTTTCGACGACGACAAAAACTAATAAATATTAATTACTTTTTCACGATATTCACGCAATCGCGGAATGAAATTATAAAAATTTTTTTCGCCCGATTTTCTTATAAACGATCCGGAAGGTTATAGATTTTCGTTTTTCCGCGTCTTTTTATTTCTTTGAACCACGAAGCGTTTTCGTTTTGCCGAACGCAAAATGGACCGACAAAAGCAAAAATCTTAAATTTACGACATCGAGCAAGCGTTGGAAGCAAACATAAATGCGTGGGCTGTGGGGAGGATTTCAGCGGGAGATGGACGAGAGGCGAATGGGATGGGGATTGGAGCTGGAACTGCGCCAGCGAACAAGGTAAATTGGCGCTGCCAGTGAAAAATTGTACAACGATTCAGTCGTCTCACCCTCTCACAAAGATATGGTGTGTCTCCCTCGAGACGCTTATCTACGCATGGATAATAGCGAATATTGAGGACGTTTTCTCGTCGAAAGCTCTCTTCAAAACTCTCGAGATTTCGAGCGGGGGTGAATGACTTTTTAATTTTACTTGAAGATGCTTGATATGTTGGTTATATCGGTTTTAAGCCGATGACATGAATAATTTTCTTCAAATGAACGCGATATGAAGTCGCTTATTTTTTGTAGCAGCTTTGTAAAGGTATGCAAAGTTTAATGTAGGAGGTGACTGAGCAGGTTGGGAGAGAACTCGTTGCGAACGCATATAGCACGACACATAAACATTACGTGTACAAACAACATTTAATTTAAATAAAATAAAAGAATGCTTTACTGAAATCATAAGACGTGTAATCATGCAACATCAAAAGCAAAGATTTGACAACATTATTCGAATACGATCAGAATTCAGTAATCAAAAAAATATAATTTCAAATAAAAGTATTACTGAACTTTCTAAAATTTTGAGGACTGATAGTAAAAATTCTATCAATAAGTTCAACAGGCAATAGTAATTAAAATTGAAAAATTTTATAGTTCTTATAAAATAAGGTAACAGTTACAGATTCATTTAAAAATACCGTTGGATAATGCGCACATTCGCAAAGAGAACACATTTAATTTTTAATCAAAGTTTTGGAAATCAAAAAATTAAAATATAAAAAAAATAAATATTATCAAATCTTTAAAAGAAAACATAAAAGAAACGCGTCACAGGAATCGTAGTCACTTAGCTTTTATTTGAAGGCGCGTCACGTCTGCCGGGCACCCGTAGCACGTAGAGGAGGCGGCTTGCTACGTACCTCGTAGGCGGCTGCTTGCGGCACACTCACTGAACGATTGACACTGTAGAGCCGCGCGCCGGAGCGGACCGATCGGTGCAGAGACCCAAAGCAAAATGAACGTACCTGAGTGTGGCGGCTGGTACGTGGCTCGCCCGCTACTTAAATGAGGCACACCCGGACGGCGCGCGCAGGGGGCGCGGCCAGCCCGCGTGGCTCCGGCCGAGCCCCGCCCCGCGCACCCCCCGACCTCCCTTCGGCCGTCCCCTTCAGCCATCCGACTCACCCCAGCCCGCGCCCGCTCAGCTGAGCCCTGATTAGCCCGGGCTATTCAATTAAGGGTCGCCCGGTGCATCTCGCGCCGCTGTCCGCCCCGCTGCCCGCGTCGCTATCCGCTGCCGCCTTTAAGTGCTCTCTATTACGAACTCTCCATCACCGATCCCGTTATTTATATTCACCCCGGCGGACGGCTTTTATGACTCCATGCAACGGATGAATATATCATGTCCAGAACTTGCGGTTTTGAATGATATTCTATGAACCTCATATTTGTTGGATGCGGCAGTATTAGCAATATGATTCGAGTATGATAAGATTTATAGTTGAAAAACCATCTGTTTCGTTATAATGTTAAAGTTCAAGCAATGGATAACTATGTTTAACATAATTATGTTGCTACACTTATTGCATTAGAACAAAACAAAAATTGAACAAGGTATGTTCAATTTTTGTTTTGTTTGACCTAAAAAGATTAAAATAAAAAAAAATACATCTTACAGAAATGTCGTATTGCTGCAATTCGTAGCAAGCTAAAATTCCTTTATGGGGGTTTGCGATTCTAGACCAATTCAAATCGAATCATTAATTCATCGCAATAAGAAATATATAACATTTCATCTATAGTTAGTCATTTTTTTAAATCTACCACCGTTTCGTAATAAGGTTCCTCTAACGGAGAAGAAACAGACGAAAGAAACTCCGTAGATATCCTATTTTTCCTCATTTTTTTCTTAAAATATGCAAATGTTAAACAGTTTATATATTTAATTTTTGTTTTTAGTAATAATTTGAGAGAGGAACTAAGTGACGAATATATGCAGATACTTACTTGGTCATGTTGGTGGGGTGCTGTGGATTATTGTCTACGACACCGCGGACGACATTTTATTAAAATTGAAAATTAGGGACGGACATTTTCTCGAGTGACCTCAAGGGGCGACAGCGAGCGGTCTCCTTTCTTGATACTTAGAGATTTGCCAGCCAAGTGTTACGTCGCTTAATATACATAAATTAAACAATGACAATTACAAATACATACAAACATACGGTCAAAAGTTACATGAATCAGTGAAATGTTAACTATTGATAATACGATTTATCAAAACATTAACAACATTATTATTATTATATTGATTACTTCATAGAGCCGTTCGTAGCCGGGGCCCACTTTACTAAATGCTGGCAATGCATCTGCACTCCTAAGGGTGTTGGACATGTTAATGGCCGGCGGTTATCACTTAGCTTCGCGCATAAAAAATAATTTTCAAGAATTCGATCTTTATAATAATTATAAGTAAAAATGGATTTTTACTAGATAGAGTGATACAAGAGGAAGGTTTATACGTATAATACATTTCACCCGTGCGAAGCCGGGGTGGGTCGCTAGTACTACATTAAGGTATTAAAATTTCTAAAAATTTGAGAAAAAACCTCATGTGAAGCCGGGCTGACTAATGCTTAAAATATACCAGTGAATAGAAACTTAAACAAATGTTTCTTTTAACGTTTTTGAAAAATTCTGAAACAAGAAACAATTAAGAGAGGTTAAGTGGAGCCGTATTTTATGAGTAATTATAAACGAATTTCAAGTACGACGTATTAATTTTTTAGGGTACGTCGAAAATTGGAATCCTAAAAAAATTTTAAAGTATTTTTACTTAATGCATTAATTAATACTAGTCGACTACGAAAGCTCTCGGGCTGAACTTTGTGAGCACATTTCCTTTGCAGCACTATAGATTTAGCGAGTAATATTTACCCCGCTATTTATTTTACAAACTCAGGGAACCTGCCGGGTTTTTAATCTACAGTATTTTTAATGTACGTTAAAAGTGATCGACTTAAAAGTATTCATTTCAGGTTCTATTTTTTAGGGAAAGTGAAACCTTTTATCCAAGATAGTTTTAATAAATTAGAAAAGACTCTCTAAATAATGGGTCTTTTCTTTAGAGAAAATGTCAACTTTTCCACGGACAAATATTATTAACATTATTGTTCTCGCCAAAATGCGGTTGATGATTTTTGCCGTTCATTAGTCACAGGCGGCAGGCGCGGCGCGAAATATGGCGCCCTCCAGAGCTGTGCGCTCAGTAGCAGAGCGAAATGAAGTTAGCCGCGACAATTTAATTGTAGAGGCAGTGGAGTGCAGAAACGGCCCATAAAAGGCCGTAAACAGACCATTAGGGTGAGTTTCACTGCCGCCTGTTCTTAATTATCCGAGTTAGTTACTCTCCTCGAGCGCCAAACTGTATTGTTCAGTTTTCAGCACAGCTCTCTGAACAATGGCAATTGAATCGAATCGTTGCCAGCTGCAACGTTTTTTATGAAATGTATAATATATTCTTATGCCTTTGTTTTGGATGGGAAGCCCTTTCGAAAAAAATTCATTAACATTAATCCGATTCTGTCACAAACTTAGTGTTAGGTGTTGTTTATCTGTTGTTTCGCGCAGAAGTATGATGTTTTGCGATTATTAAATCGGCAAACGGAAAATTACAGAATAATTTGAAGTATCTCGATAAGACACGCCTGCTACTTGCTAGTTCTGGAGATGAGAATTCTGAATAATAAAATGTTTCTCTCAATCCGAAAAAAGCAGTAAAATCAACAGAATAAAAAAAAGAAGAATTTGAAACAAAACCACACAAAAATTTGCTGACAAAATAATTTATTCTGAAATGGAAGACTACAGCATTTTGACTGAATGTTACGTCTGATTTTGTTATAGTACAGTGAATAGCCTCCAGCTTTTAATATTAGTGGACTACTTTCTTTATACTAAAAGTGTTAGAGAGTTTGATATTATATATAAATCATTCAAATTTATTTTCGAAGGTTTTGAATGATGTAGTATTTTTTTTAACATTTCAGCATAACATCTCTTGAATCATTTATTTGGTGATATTTTATTATTCTTACGATTTGCTAATTGTTATATTCAAAGGAAAATCGACGTTATTAAACAATTAAGCGAAATATTCATGATTTTATCGAACATTTCACCAAACTTAAAACAGCCTTGAGCTTGTGTGTATGCTTGAATGTCTTATTCTTTTTACAACATATTTTGAAAATGTTGTAAAATATATTTGTATGTGGTAAAAAATTGTTGTGTTATCGGTAGCATCGTAAATGGTAGTGAAAATAACTCGTGAGTTTATTCTGAACCTGTACATACAGTACAGCTTATACAGTTTTTTTTAAGGGACAACGATCATATACAGTACTAGCTGCTGCCCGCGACTACGTCCGCTACTGAAGACGTAACATTCAGAAAGAAAGACAGATATACATAAAATGTATATATATATATATATATATATATAAATCATAACCTATGTCTTATTTTAATGTATAAGTTATGTTATTGTAAAGTTTCATTAAAATCTATTCAGTAGTTTTTGCGTGAAAGAGTACAAACAAAGAGTACAAACATCCATCCATACATACAAACTTTTGCCTTTATAATATTACTAGCTGCTGCCCGCGACTACGTCTGCGTAGAGGGGTGAAAATTTAGGGTTGTACGTATTTTTAATGCCACATTATAGAAAAATAAAAACAAAAAATTTTCTGCTAAATTTTAAAAAAAATGTTTAGGGTGAACAACCCTTATCACTTAGGGGTATGAAAAATAGATAGTAGCTAATTCTCAGACCTACTGAATATGTATATAAAATTTGGTAAAAATCAGTCAAGCCGTTTCGGAGGAGTAAAGTAACTAACATTGTGACACGAGAATTTTTTATATAAGATTAAGGATTAGTAAGGATTGCAATAGTACAAGTAAGACGTGAGTTACATAATTGCTGAATAAGTAACTTTTCATCGAGTAAATTACCAACTAGGCAAATCGTTATAATACTTTCTTGAATTTGTAATTGCACAGCCAACTAGGGTAAAAATAAATTGGAATCGCAACTCCGGTCAAGGTATCATCAACGACAAAAAATTGTGAACCCATGATTTAAATAAGATGATCGTTTTTTTTTATAAAACTGTTGCAATATGTTGATTTATTGAAGCATTTGTTTGTAACCAAGCATTGAATTGTTAAACTTAATGACATAATAGCACTATTTAATACACTGCTCTATACAAAATATATTCTGGATTGTTAACATAGATGTCTATCAATTTAAAGTTTTTTATAGTGCTAATCTCTGCACTTAAGATTGAACATTAAAGCATGTAGAAAAAGTACGAAAAGATCGTTGTAAAACGATATTCCAAATTGTTTGTATGCTGGAAAGGATATAACAATAGATGCACCAAGCATTGCTTCAAATGCTAAATAATAATGTAGAGAAAAGGCGTTAAGATTTTCGTCGGTTTGGCAATCAACCATTTAGCTCAGTGGCTAGAGCGTCTGGCCGCGATTGTCGAAGACGTGGGTTCGATTCCCACAGCGGCGACAATCTTTTCGTACTTTTTCTACATGTTTTAATAAGTAGACATTTTTGATTTGACAATCTTTTATGGCCTAGTTCTAATCTCTCCGTTGATTTGTTGATAAGAACTAATTTACTTATTTACGTTCCATTGTAATAAAGGTGTAATGGTCAAGACTTGTGAGGGAACCCTTTGCCGGTATTACATTTGCCGGCGGGAGTTTGAAGGGCATTATTGGGAAAACATTGAGTTAATGTATTATTTCAGCAGTAGACAGTATTAATATTAATATTTAAACGTAACCATAAATGTTATTAATAATGTTTAGTTATTGCATAACCATAACATATTTGTCGAATAATCTTTATTAGCCATAATTACCTCACTGATTTTGTTATAGTACAGTGAATAGCCTCCAGCTTTTAATATTAGTGGACTACTTTCTTTATACTAAAAGTGCTAGAGTGGTTGATATTATATATAAATCATTCAAATTTATTTTCGAAGGTTTTGAATGATGTAGTATTTTTTTAACCTTTCAGCATAACATCTCTTGAATCATTTAATTGGTGATGTTTTATTATTCTTACGATTTGCTAATTGTTAAATTCAAAGGAAAATCGACGTTATTAAACAATTAAGCGAAATATTCATGATTTTATCGAACATTTGAACCATATTTTGTTTTTGTGTAGTACTTTTTTTTAATTTTTAGTTTATTTAAAACTAGCGACCCGCCCCGGCTTCGTACGGGTGCAATGTATTATACATATAAATCTTCCTCTTGAATCACTCTATCTAGTAAAAAGCATACATAGGGACAGACAGACAGCGGCACGACTTTGTTTTATACTATGTAGTAAAGACTCGAGAAATAATTTAATAATTTACATACAGTATAATTAATGTGCAAGATTTAGTTATGGATCATGATAGTGTAATTTAAATGTTATGTGTAATTTATATGAAATGTAACATAATCATATCAAAAACATATAAAATCACATCTTTCCGCAAAGTAGGTTTTTTAAAACGCGTTCCTTACGCCTGGATAAATGAGCTTTTCTGAGAGCGCCCATAAATCATTCTTGCACTTATCTGTTGCTTGCAATTTCCCGCGAGGATAGAGGCCATTGTCGACACAAGATATAATTACGTAAAGAACAGTTCAGAGGCTTAAATTTAATTGTAATCGATTTCCTTTTAAGGAGTGAAAATTAATAATTGAAATAAAATAATTTTGGGGATTTTTGTTTTAACAATATTTTTTTTATGTGAAAAGTTGCCAAGCGAGCAGACGGTTCACCTGATGTTAAGTGAATACCGCCGCCGATGGACATCTGCTACACCCGATGGTTGATGATACGTTGACAACCTTTTGAAAATTGGGCTCCGGCTACCTCACTCACCAGACGAAACGCGAAAGTATTATACTTCCACTTTACGCCGGTCTTCTGTGAGGTCGTGGTACTTACCCGGACGGGACTGCCCATTCGTGCAACAGCCGAGGCTGCTGCGTGGCCCTACCACCGGAAAAAAAAACAATATTTAAATGAATGTTGAATATTCAGCCTGGAACACAATAGTCCCTCTAACACGAAGACATTGTAATAAGCGTATCAAATTATACGGCACGTTGGGTAATACTAGCACTTAAAAATACAGTACCTACTAAAATGAGACAAAACTGCCCAGGAACAGAGTCCATATTAGATTAGCGTGGTTGTAACGTAACATATTCTTGGGCAGCAGCGAGTTGGAGCCGTGCCAATGTTCGATCACCTTTAAGTTACACGATAACGACAAACATTCATGCGTCATCGTAGCGAAGGAAGTTTTCACTAACCTGATTCGGTGCGAGCATGTGATGGCGGTGAATTTCTTCCATTTTAATTTGAGATTTAGCATTGTCAACGTATTCGTTAATAGAAAGCTGTAAATCTAGTTAGGAGAGAGCGAATTCGGCGCTGCAACCTCCAAAATGATTATCACGCTTCCGATGCAGTTTCTTCGCAGTTAGCACGGAGCTTAACGAGCATATACCGATCCGATGTCGCTTTGACGACGTAGCTCGCCCGGGCCGGTGCACCTCGAGCCCCGGGCGTAGCTGTACAATGAACGGCCCGGACGTTCCAAACCGTACCTTACCGCGTCAGCAAGAAGGTGTATTATCGCGCGGCGACACGGGGGAGGCTGTAGCGGGTGCATACGAGCGTGTAATGTTGTCGGTGTACGTCGAGAGTCAAAGCCGGGCAGGTGGGCGTGTGTGGGTGAGAGGTGGGTGAATTAGCGGCTGGTGCCGAGCTCCAGGGCGGGCGGCATGCCCGGGAGAGCTACGTCGCCATAGCTACGAGCGGAATCTAATATATAGGGGGCAAATAAAAGAGAAATAAGTACGAAACGTTCCCGCGGAAGCCCTATTCGGAACGATATTTCAAACATTTTGATTATTTCTATGCGAATGCTTTCTATAGAAAGTTCGTTTTTGTTCACTTATGTTGTATGCTATGAGTTTTTATTTTCATTTATCTATTTCGTTATCTACGTTAGCATCATCTTCAAATATGTAAGGTGATATTAATTGGAATAGTTTTTATCTTTGTATCTATTTAAAGGTTTATTACATCAGAAGCTAAAAGAAAATAAACCCGTATATTTAACAATAGAAATGATTTTGACACAATTTCTATTGCAGTTTCTAACAGGTGTCGTTATTTTTAATACAAGAAGTGGTTAACCTCTATCTGTATTAAATCAGCGACGATATATCTTACATTTATTGCTAGAAAATTCAAAACCACGTCTATAGAAGGTACCTTTATTAAAGGTGGTTTTAATTAAGTGAAAAATTAACACTGTACGCGCAGTCAACATTTCGCCCCCAGAAAGTTCTTATTTGCCAAACGAACTAAGCGAAACAAAGTCCCGGGTGATTGCTTATCATATAGTGAGTTGGGGGACCTGATCACTGGGGGATTACCAATGGATAAAAGAGTCTTATATTTTTTAATGCAGTTGATACGTTGATGAGTTATTTTTTTTTTTCGTGGTTCCAGGCAGCTTGTTGCACAAATAGGCTCGTCCGGGGAAGTACCGCACCCTCAATGTGTACAGGCTTGAAGTGCAATATCAAAGTGTATTTTGGGTTGAAACCCATGCGTTTTAAATATTGCCAACCCATCTCCGTTCTAGCTGTAAACATAAACTACCTGATTACCAATTTCAATTTTCAATTTTCTATGGGTAAATGTGAAGGTTTTTAACGCATATTCTTACTTTGCATATTAGCACTACGCTCGAAAACTATTTCAACAGAAAAAACGACTATTTCTGGAATAGTAGACGTGAACGCTAATTAATAACTGATGAAACCATTCGATTCGGCAGATTTAAGCCGAGCGGAGAATAGGGCTGTCAATAGGAGACAATTTGGTAGAATTTAAGCTATAGGAAAAGTACTCTTATACAACGGCACTACTATTATAAAAATGCTATAATTCGTGCTTACATGTATTTGGCATACTAACTAGTTATTAGCATACTAAATAGTAATTAACATAGAATTAGTTCATCTCGTAAAATCAACTGTTACAGTTCTGTCTTATCACGTGACACTTCTATGATATAGCATACATAAAAAATTTGCACCGCTGCGTTGTGCTTAAAAATAGTGTATCTTTACAAAGTCACTCCCGATGTTTGTACGCTTAGATCTTTTAAACTACGCAACAGATTTTAATGCGGTTTGCAGCAACAGATAGAGTGATTCAAGCGGAAGGTAGAAATACAATATCTACATTGTACCCGTGCGAAGCCGGGGCGGGTGTGCTTATAAATAATTAAATAATATTAATAATGAAATAAATTCGTAACTTGTGGTTAGTTACTTTAGTCGATTAGATTTAGGATGTACCATTTAGAAGAATTATTAAAAACTAAGTTTTGCCATTTAAAACCTGCCAAAATATTTTACATACATCAAAGGGTACAATCACTGAGCGGTGCAGAATAAAATTTTTGAGTGATATGTGATTGTTGTCTGCTACATTAAAAAAGTATGTGTATACTTATGGACGGACGTAAGAAGTAAGGCTTCTTTAGCGTAACGAAATTAAATGCAAACGATAACGTGATAATTAAAAGTTTAATAATTATAATTAAAAGTTAAGTAGATTATAGCGATAATTTTTCTGAAGTATATTTTTTTGGGTGACACTGCTATATTTTTTACCTTGTGAAATGTAATAAAGTACTTTTACTTTCGTAGATGTATATTTAAGAGGGTATTTAAAAAATATATTCTATTGTTTAAAATCAAATTCGCCATTTATGAATGCAAATACCGGTTTTAGGATGCATCTAGTAGCTTGTTAGCTATAAGTGTTCTGATAAATGGTTTTAAGGTTGCGTACTAGTTAACCATTTTAACATTACCATTTTAACCAGCTATCAAACTACGTGATTTAGACGCTGTGTGGCGAGTTAATTTATTGTAGCGTATACCGCTTCAAACTTTTTCCAATGTAGAAAGGGAAACTGTGAGTTTTGTACTTAGTAGTAAGTAATAATAGATAGAAATGTTTCATAACTGACAGCCCTTAACTGGCGGCAGTGTCAGATAGCAGCCATTTTCGAACCACACACACACACACACACACATCCAGTGTACGTCCCACCGCAACACCCGACGGGATCCGCGTAACGATGTAACGCGCAGTAAATGGATTCGTCTGTCTGCAACTCTCCAATAATGAGGGAAACATAAGCCGATTATGATATGCGGACGTCAGTCCAATTTGGTAATCGTTAATGATTGGGTGAATAACAAACGTATGTACGTATTATATAGTACCAGGATTCAGACAATATTTATTTTGAGCCTTTTGTTCTGGCTTTATTAATACTCGAAACATTCACTGCTGAGTTTCATAGTATGTGTAGCATGTTACTGAAATGTATAACCTAACTCGTTTGCTTTTATCCAGTGGCTCATTGATGTAAATGTTTATGACGTAGATGTAAACAGCTAGAAACGGTCAAATATTATAAGTAATTAAATTAATTATTAGTAGATGTATCTTAAAACGGAATTTTAAAAATCAGTATACCTACATGTAGCTACTGTTAGCATGAATTCAATGAAAGTGAAAAGATTACATTATATTGTATTTTCTAAAAAAAGTGAATCTTCTCCGTACTGTTCATCAAATTCGCTTTTCGATTTGATCACTGGAATGCTTCATATGATCTCGTATCGGCTCCTAAAATTATGACTAGGAATATTATTGTATTTAATTTTCGAAAACTTAATTCATTTAAAGGCATCAACTGACTTGTTAAACGAGAAAACTTTTACGCATTAAGCCTGCCACTAATACAGTAATAATTCAATATATACAAAAAAAAAACCGCCCAAGTGCGAGTCGGACTACTATTACCTACAAAAACGGTAAAAAAATTAATAAAATTCTTCTTTTTTTAAATAAATCTTTTTTTTGTGTTTGTTGTTATAGCTACAGAAATACGTCATCTGTGAAAATTTCAACTGTCTAACTATCACGGTTCATGAGATACAGGCTGGTGACAGACAGACAGACAGCGGAGTCTTAGTAATACGGTGCCGTTTTACCCTTTGGGTACGGAACCCTAATAAAAATTGTTAATGACGATTTACAACTAAACAAATAATTCCCAGATTCAACGCAGTCCCTCTCTGTAATGTCTCATTAGTGAACGTACACAATATCGTAATAGGAAATACAATTTCATGTTTAATTTGGAATGCAGATAACGTTTCGCAAATTAATTTCGCACTAATTTCACAAACAGAACGAACAGATAAACGCTATTCAATAAGTACTAAATTACACTCTGTATACTCTCCGAGAGGTATACTCGGTCCAAATTCAATTTGCGTTCGTTTAAGTTGAAAACGTTGAAGTGAGTTTAATTTGCAACCCCCATGCGATATTGAAATTTGTGCCAATGAAGGATGTTGTATTCGATAGCTACAATTTTTATTGCAGTGTTAAATTAATAGTATTAAAATGAGAATTTCTGTAGACCAACTAACTACAGAAGAACGGACTGAAAAAAACTTCTTTTCCGGTGGTAGATAGGCCCCTCCTAGACCTCCTAGAGTGGTTACGCAAAGTATTAAAAATTCTATCTGCATCTTCTGAATAAAGCATCCAGACGCTTTAAACAACTGAGCTTGTGACACCGTGTAATAATCTCGACATCTATACTTTCTTTATTGAATTTGTAGCAATGTTCGGCGCCAAGAGATGTCACCTTTGGTATTGAAATGTATGATTAATTTTTATTTTTCCGCTGGTTTCTGCACGCAATACGAAACTTAAAAAGTTACGTAATGTATAGACTGAACATTCTTCGATAACTTTTTACAAAAAATTCAAAGTTTAAGCAAAAAAAAATTGGTTATAGTTTACTTATATATTTTATATTATTTACTTATATATATTGTTACAACTTTTAATTATAATTTTTTAACGTTTTATCGGTAGTAATGTTAGTAATGACTAGCAGAGTTCTTAAGCGCCTAGCGGTAATTCTATTAATTTATAAAGATAATTGGATTTTAAAGGTTTCTTTGTTTCTTATATTTATTCCTTGCTCTAGTTACCTAATTGCACGTTTCATGTTAATACAATATGAAGACGTGTGAGCGCAATTAGTGCCATTAGAGCCATTTCGAAGGCAGAAGATATTCAGCTCCCTGTGAGTGCTTCTCATGTGAAGCCGGGCTTTTCTCTTAGTGCTGTTCAAAATGATTGTAACTGTCAAACTACAATGTTACGATTAGTTAACAAAGAGATTAAAGGTAGTCTAAGTGATTTGCTTTGTTGAGATTAGTTATAGTGATCTTGGCATACACTACATAGCTGAGCTTGGAGTTTCAAAGTGTTATCGTTATGCATATAATTGACCAAGTGATCTAACTTATCTCGAACTATTAATTCGTCAGCGAATTTTGTAGCTAGGTCAGTCTCGATTAAATTCTAATTGATAAAATATTATTGAGGCAAATCGACAGAATACAGGAAAGAGTGTAAAAAAAAATTGAAACGAAGGCAATAAATTCGTAATAAATTCTACAAAACCATTTAAAAAAAACAGTTTTCATGTTAAATTCAAAAACCTTTTACATTTAAGCATTCTTAATAATTGTAAATAAAACATTTTTA